GAATGAATCAGGGGGGGGAGGTGGGTAGTAGAAGGGATAAACAGGGAAGGGAGGAGGGGGAGGGTACATGTGGTAAGGGTATTCGTGGTATCCATAAAGCTGCTGGTGAGAAGGAGGCACTGTGCGCGTCCTTTTGGGAGGGGGAAGAGAAGGAGTTGTGGACTGGCGTGGAACCGGGGATGGAGAGCGGCGGCGGCGCCCGCTGGAGTGCGCCGAGGCGCTGGGCTGAGCCGGGGATGGTGACTCATCCGGTTCCGGGGATTGGGGAGGGCTGAGTGAAGGAGGTGAATTTTGAGAGGGCGGGAGGGGCGGGGGGGAGAGAGAAGCGTCTGGAGGAGGCTGCGGTTCCAGCTCCATGTGGGGAGCTAAGAGCTCGAGAGGAGGGAGATGGGAGGGGTCTTCCATGTGGAGGAGGGAAGGGAGCGGTTCCTGGAGCTGCAAAGTGGAACCGGGGAGAAAAGGCACAGACTGCAATACAGGGGGACTCAAGGGCTGTGTGCCAGTGAGTTGCCGTCCCTTTTTTTGTTTGTTTGATTTTTCTTTCGCTTTTGAAGACCTCGTGGTCTGTTTAGCTGTTTTGGATTTCTTTTTCTGCGGCTCCACAGTGGGAGAGTCCGCTTGCTCTCTGTCCCGCCTATCCCCAACACGTGGGGAGGGAGGCTGGGAGGTAACTTGAACAGGGGAGGATTGAGAGGGGGCGGGAGGAGCTTGCGGGGCCAGGGCCCGCTCGTATAGGAGAGCTTTTAGTCTGGCATCTCTGCCTTTGCGAGCTCTGGACGTGAAGCTAAGGCAAATCTCGCAAGTCTGGAGATTGTGGGTCTCTCCTAGACATAAAAGGCATTTAGAGTGTTTGTCTGCCTCGGGGAGATTGGCCCCGCAGGAGGAGCAGTTTTTAAAACAGAGGGAAGACATCTAGCCTGATTTAGAATGGTCGTCAGCCGGTCCGTGGTCGAGGGAAGGAGAGGTCTGGTCGTCGAGGGAGAGTCCTGGGTCAAAAAGCCAACAGAGTCCCAAAAAAGAGAAGGAGAAGTCCTGACGATGCTGCCTGTTTGGCGCGGAAAAAGGAACTACCTCTCAGACGCCCGCGGGGGCTGATATACCGGGGGGGCGGGGAGTGGGCGGGGCTTATGTTTATTCTTTAAATAATCATTTAAAAATTCATTAAAAATTCTAGAAGTTCCGGATTGCTGCGCATGCGCACAGGAGAACCCATAGGTGTGCATTTCACGGAAGACACTGGAAGAAAAAACAAATGTGGTAAAATAATAATAATAATAATCTATATAAAAATAAAAATGTAATGGTCATTTGTTGGATTAACAGAATTCAAAAACCACTGGACGAATTGACACCAAATTTGGACACAAGACACCTAACAACCAATGTATGTCCTTCACTAAAAAAAATGATTTTGTCATTTGGGAGTTGTAGTTGCTGGGATTTATAGTTCACCTACAATCAAAGAGCATTCTGAACTCCACCAACGATGGAATTGAACCAAACTTGGCACACAGTTCTCCCACAACCAACAGAAAATACTGGAAGGGTTTGGTGGGCAGTGTCCTTTGGTTTTGGAGTTGTAGTTCACCTACATCCAGAGATCACTGTGGACTCAAACAATGATGGATCTGGACCAAACTCTACACAATACTCAATATGCCCAAATGTGAACACTGGTGGAGTTTGGGGGAAATAGAATCTTGACATTTGGGAGTTGTAGTTGCTGGGATTTATAGTTCACCTACAATCACAGAGCATTCTGAACCCCACCAACGATAGAATTGGGCCAAACCTCCCACACAGAACCCCCATGTGGGCTACAGCAACGCGTGGCAGGGGACAGCTAGTAATAAATAAATAAATAATAATAATAATAATAATAATAATAATAATACAGGGACAAGTTATCCTTTGGGGAAGGCCCTGGTAGAGCTGTTGCTGTCATTAGTGGTATTGTCTGAGACCAACAAAAATTTACCTTCTCAACACTCTGTTTCAATTATGATATCCCCACCTTAAAGTGCTAAACAATAGTAGTGAGTTGGATTTAACAGTTTGGGTCTTTTCTCTATTTTGCCCAATTATTATTGTTTGTGCCCTTCGATTTGGTGGCTGAATATCAGTTGAAAGAAGAAGAAAAAAGACATTAAGATATCTAACAAATCATTTTATACCCCTTTGTACTGCCAAAGGGCTGCACTGCTTTTCCAAGGATATTTTCTCTACAAATACTACTATAAAAAACCCAAGAAACAGGTAGCATTCAATACGTTTATTGTGTAACTAATGTCCATGTCCAAAGATTTACAGAACATTCAAAATAAAAATACAAAGGATAGTAGCCCAAATCATAACCACTCTCATATAAAGAATAAGAACATTTCAAACTACTGGTAAATTTCTAGTTGCCAACATAAAAATGAAGTTGATACTTTGGGCCTCCATTTATTTATTTATTTATTTATTTACATACATTATTTCTATCCCTCCTATTTCAGCCCGAAGGCGACTCAGGGCGGTATACATAGTCGGCACAATTCGATGCCGTAAAAGTACATACATTGATCAAGCAAAAACATTAAGTGCAATAAAACATAAAAGACAGTGCATAATGACAATTTAAAAAAGAACTATGTCCTCTCGTTCAAATCCTCATCCGTTACATTGTCTTGGCTCTTCCATGGCAATCTGTGGCAGTTTTATCCAGATGTCTTCCCCTTCCTTCCTTCCTTCCTTCCTTCCTTCCTTCCTTCCTTCCTTCCTTCCTTCCTTCCTTCCTTCCCCACCCGCCTCTCTCATTCATTCATTCATTCATAGACCTTTTTTCTTACCCCAGGGGGACCTAAATCAGTATACAGCATTATACATGGCAAAGATAATGATCTGTTTTTCAGTCAAAGCAAAAAGTACTATGTGTTACACAATCATTGAAATCATACAAAAAAAAAATAATGATGCAATTCTACAAGAGAGATCCTACTCCTATGTGTCAGCAAGGGTTTCAGACTATTTTTCTCTGGGATCACTACACAGGGGATATATTAGCATGTGATGCACAATGGCTTTCACCTGAGCTACAGGTCTTGTTGGGACATCTCACATTTCACATTCTGAATACCTCTGACTCAGAATCAGTGCTTCATCACCATGGTCCTATCGTTAAAGAAACAATGGCAGTTTTATCTTAACACTACAAGCTGCTGTAAGTCTTCTTAAATTATTTTATATATACTATGCATTTTGGTATTGCTGGTTTTAATGGAGCTCATGTGTTTGTGTTGACAATTATGCTTATTTAATGATTAATTTTATTGTTTAGTAATCTATGAGTTATAATGACATTACCTTGCACTGTTTTTGACTTATGTGTGTGTTTATTACTAAGGCATTGAATGCAGAATGGGGGACAGCAAAGATAAAGAATGGAGGACACCTGGCTCGGGAGTAGTACATGTGAAAAATATCTTGGAGTCCTCATGGACAACAAGTTAAACGTGAGCCAACTATGTGATGCTGCAGCTAAAAAAGCCAATGGGATTTTGTCCTGCATAAATAGGAGTATAGTGTCTAGATCCAGGGAAGTCATGCTACCCCTCTATTCTGCCTTGGTCAGACCATACCAGGAATTCTGGGCACCACAATTGAAGGGAGATATTGACAAGCTAGAATGTGTCCAGAGGAGGGTGACTAACATGATCAAGGGTCTGGAGAACAAGCCCTATGAGGAGTGGCTTAAAGAGCTGGGCATGTTTAGCCTGTAGAAGAGAAGGCTGAGAGGAGACATGATAGCCATGTATAAATGTGTGAGGGGAACTCATAGAGAGGATGGAGTAAGCTTGTTTTCTGCTTCCCTGGAGACTAAGACGCGGAGCAATGGCTTCAAACTGAACATTAGGAAGAACTTTCTGACTGTGAGAGCTGTTCAGCAGTGGAACTCTCTACCCCAAAGTGTGATGAAGGCTCCTATGGCGGCCAGATGGCCATCTGTTGGTGGTGCTTTGAACATGATTTTCCTGCTTCTTGGAAGGGGGTTGGACTGGATGGCCCACGAGGTCTCTTCCAACTCTATGATTCTATGAATGTTTGCCTCTTTGTCTGGAAGCCGCCCTGAGACCCTCTGGGGAGATAGGACGGCCTATAAATAAAGTTGTTGTTGTTATCTAAAGATATGGACTTAGCTTGAGATCTGGAATCTTGTCCCATCTTGGTGGCGGTCGCTATGTGACATGCAATATTTGCAAATAAACATGTCTGGTTTTGGTATAATAACTATGCAATGGTAAACATGGTTACTCAGCACTTTCCTTTTTAAAAAAAAATATTCAAGGAAGAGACAGAATAAACACAGAAACAAGCATTTTAGATATCTAAAGCTACCAAAACTACAGAACTAAATATATCCACAGCTATTAGAAATCACCACAAACTTCCCACTCCCTGCTTGATGTTTATTATCTCTTTTTCATTTATCCTCTATAGCCAAAAATGTAACCACACTTGTCCTAATTCATGAATCTCCCAGTTGATCAATGACCTTAATGTAGTTGTGGAAAATGATGAATAGGGCCCAACCTTTCTAAAAAGTTACTTAAAATTTTCTCCTTAATCAGGATAGTTGATTTCTCTATCTCAGCTACTGAGTTACTTCACAGATGTTCATTAGCATATAATATAATACCATATAATTCTGGCATATATTATAGCATTTGCCCAACTCAAATTAATCAGCACGTTTAACCAGTTTGTACTTGAACAGATTGTTACAGTGTCATTTAACTTCTGTTTCTTAGCAGGCTACAAACAACGACATTTGAAGTGGGTCATATCTCAGTCCTCTTTCTAGAGGAACTATGGCTTTTTTGGGAAATAAGTTCAGCCAGAAAAGCAGCACCTTGATGTGACCATGAAAAAGTTGCCATATTCTCTTGGAGAGACTTGTGGATGGAATCGAGGAGAAAACAGACGGGGAAAAGTTATTTTGGGAACAATGAGCAGAAACAGAGTGAAACTTCACTACCCTACCCCACTTCATAGGAGCTTGGCAAAAATCCAAATTAGGGTTTGCTGCTTTTTCACCAATATCATCTCATTTTCCCACACTGACCCAGGAGGAGATTGGCTCTCCAGAAAATGGAGCATTGTTGAAAGAATAAATCGTATTAGACTGATCTTTAAAGATCACTGAACCTTTCTCATAGTCCAGGATCACACGGATATTCTTTTTTCTATCCTTGTTCAAATCAGGATTTCTGTAAAAGACAGGTAGGAGTTTTGTATTTTTAAAGGGATATGGTCCTCGAGATAGTTCAGGAGAAGTGAATGCAGTCCATTTATATGAACCATTTTCAGAAACAAGGCATATAGCCCAGTTCCCTTCTTTCACACTTTGATCATACAGGTTCCCTTGTACACCTTGAAAACAGCTCTCTCCTGTCACACTTTGACAATACTGGTTCCCTGGCACACCTTGAAACAAGTTCCTTCCTTTCACACTTTGGTTCCCTTGCACACCTTGAAACAAGTTCCCAAATTTCACACTTTGGTTCCCTTGCACACCTTGAAACAAGTTCCCAGATTTCATACTTTGATTCCCTTGCACACCTTGAAACAAGTTCCCAAATTTCACACTTTGGTTCCCTTGAACAGCTTGAAACAAGTTCCCAGATTTCACACTTAGATTCCCTTGCGCACCATGAAACAAGTTCCCTTCTTGCACCCTTTGATCATGGCTATTCCTTAAGGACTCTTTGGCCACCCCTACAGCCCAGAATGTTGCATTCTCCATTTCTACCTCCCAGGAATGACACCCTGAGGTTATTTTTTCAAACCCCATAGTATAAGAAAAGCAAGACAACGTGAAATTTTCAGTAAGGTTAAAGGCATGCATTTCTCCGAATTGGTCTCCGAATTGGTCTCTAATTGCGCCTCTAATTGCGCCTCTAAATTGATCTATAAATGAGTCTCTAAATGGGTCTTGTGCACAGATTCCTGGAAAATACTCCACGACTAGTGAGGGAATTTTCATGTCCTTGCAGATATTGCTGTAAGAAGAAGAAAAAGTTGAGAAAACCAATGTAGGGTGGGTTTAGATAGTGGCAAAGTCAACTGCAGCCTACCTCCTTGTGTTACATTGTTCTGTGTGAGAAAGTGGAGGTATGAAAAATACGGTTTTCCTTGAGTGGAAATCCAGAAACCACAGTATTATTCATCAGAAAATCATGCTTGACTGATATTCTGATGAATCATAGAATCATAAGAGTTGGAAGATACCTCATGGGCTATCCAGTCCAACCCCCTGCCAAGAAGCAGGAAAAATCGCGTTCAAAGCACCCCCAACAGATGGCAATTCAGCCACTCTGTTTAAAAGCCTCCATAGAAGGAGCCTCCACCACACTCCTGGGTAGAGAGCTCCAGCCAATATCCTTAGACAATTAAAATTCCAAAAGAGCATTTGATCAAACTAAGTTGGAATAAACATGGGAGGAGGAGAGAAAGAAGCCAAAGAATTGTGTAATTTTTGTGGGCTGACCAACTGATAAAAATGTCTGTCCACAGAGGCTCTACTGCATGCATCCAATGAAGCAAACTGGGTGCAAGTATACATTGGTCCATAAATTTGCGTCAGTCCAGTGCAGAAATTCTCCAAATGAGCCCCAACTACCCATATACACACGTCCTGGCATGTTGGCAGCGTACAATCATGGAAGAGACTATAAGAGCCATTCTGCCATGGAGGAACACACAATCCAAGCTCTCCCAACAAATGGCCATCCTGACTCTGTTAAAAACCTCAGAGAAGGAGAATCCACCATATGCTATGTTGGCTGTACTGGACTATCAATTTACTTTCTATGTTACCATTACTACTGCGTAGGACCTCCTGGCTGTTACAAGGTGGCCCTTTCTGATATCAATAGAGGCACCCACATGTCCAGGAAGGAAGAGAGGGCCAATGTCCACTTATATTGATGTTTGAACAGGATGCCCACAACAACCAGGATCTCCACAACAGAGGTTCAACCCATTTTCCCATATGGACAGCAGACCAGTCCAAATTGGACCCAATCCAACTGTCCACCCTGCCCCAAAGCTGCAGGATATGTTGGATTTTCAAGCAAAGACAGATTAACACAGTATAACTAGAATACTCATTGGAAGTGCAGCAACATCATGAAAAGAGCCAGGGGTCAATTCAGGGTAATTTTGGGTTTTCATGGCTATGTAGACTCGCCCTGTGACTATGGAAGTTTCTTTCTCTTAATTTTGAAGGTATCACAAGCTTTCGTATATGATGATTTGATTGTTAGTTTATCTTCATCAATCTCCTTCTCTCTCTCTCTCTCTTTTTTGTCGTGTCAGGAGCGACCGCTCCTGTTGTGAGAGAATTGGCCGTCTGCAAGGACGTTGCCCAGGGGACGCCCAGATGATTTGATGTTTTTATCATCCTTGTGGGAGGCTTCTATCACGTCCCCGCATGAGGAGCTGGAGCATCTGCCTCTCCCCGGATTCGAACCTGTGACCTGTCGGTCTTCAGTCCTGCCGGCACAGGGCTTTAACCCACTATGCCACCGGGGTCTCTATTGACCTGTTTTCTCTTGCTCTTGTGTTTTAGCTTCATCTTTCTCTTATGTTCTCAATGTTTCTTTTCTCCGTGTGTCTTTATGTTTGACCACCCTGTGTACCCTCTCCATCCTCCTTATGTTTATACGTCTTGTGCAATTCCAGCATTTTCATCTGCAATTGTCAAATAATGCATTTTGAATGTCATTATGCGGTCAGTGTAAGACCATATAATGCTGTTTGGACTGTATTAAAATGCATTATATGAGTCTAAACCAGGCATCCTCAAACTATGGCCCTCTAGCTGTTTGGGCCTCCAACTCCAAGAATTCCTGACCTTTGAACAAGCTGGATATAGCTTCTGGAAGTTGGAGGCCCAAACAACTGGAGGGATGCAGTTTTTGGATGCTTAGTTTACGCTGATCATATAATGCAGTTCAAGCAACATTTTTGACAGTGTAGATCCAGCTTGCTTTTTTCCTGTCTCATTTCTGATTCACTTTCTTTTGTCATGTCTCATGTATCACAACTCTTCTTTTTTCCTCTCTCATTTACTGCACGTGTTGCCTTTCATTTCTCATTTGTATCTCTGTATCATAAGGCACTGCATTGATCTCTGCACCAAAAGTCAGTGCTTTGTAGGTTTTGTCTTTCTGTTTCTCCCTCCCTCCTAATCTTTGCCAACAAGACCACAGCTGCTGCTCACCCATTAAGTGAAAAAAAATCTTGCAAGTACAAGACCCTGGTAACCACTGAAACCATATCTACGGTTTCACTCTCCAGCAGCAGTGCCAACATCAAGGGAGAAAGTAGCCCTGATGAATAGACATTGGCATTGGAGGAAGGGCAACTGGAGAAAGTGTAAAGGAGAAAGGTGAGAAGCAAAACACATTCAGGAAAAGAGAGGAGTCAGACAGTAATGGAACATCTAGCCATCTGGGGATAAGAGGTCAGTAGGAAGGATGCCTGGAGATCTGTCCTGAGCATTCTGGGACTGCCACCTTGGGCTATGTCTTGTGTATTAGCAACTAGTCACCAGTTGGTAACAGCTGCAATTAGGTTGGTGGAAAGTGAGCCATGGGGATTCATTTGCCCCAACTTGTGCAGTAGTTGGCATGGAAGCAGTCTCCACAGTTACTGCAGTCTCTGAAGATGTAACGAGAGCACCTGCTTCTCTGTTGTCAATGTATTTATTTCAATTTGTGCAACCTGAGGATGTTGACAAGATCCTTGGAGAGCTGAGGGTGACCACATGCATCCTAGACCTCTGCCCATCCTGGCTGATAAAAGAAGTCAGAGGGGGTTTGGCAGGGTGGGTAAAGGTGTTGGTTAATGCCTCCCTTCGTTTTTATTACAGCTTAAAAGAAGCTGTAATAAAATCGCTGTTGAAAAAACTATCATTGGATTCCACTGATTTGAACAACTTTTGGCCAGTTTCCAATCTCCCCTTTCTGGGCAGTCTTGGAATGTGTGGTTCCCTCGCAACTGTAGGGGTTCTTGGATGAAACTGACTATCTAGACCCATTGCAGTCTGGATTCAGATCAGGTCATGGAACTGAGACAGCCTTGGTCACCTTAGTGGATGATCTCTGCAGGGAGCTGGACAGGGGGAGTGTGTCCCTGTTGATTTTCCTGGACCTCTCAGTGGTCTTCGATACCATAGACCATGATATCCTTCTGGGTCACCTCACAAGGATGGGTCTTGGAGGTACTGTTTTGCAGTGGCTCCAGTCCTTCCTGGAGGATTTTACCCAGAAAGTGTTGTTGGCGCCACAGCCATTGTCCTGTGGTGTCCCACAGGGTTCGTTAATGTTCCACATGTTTAGTATTGTCTGCATGAAGCCATTGCGCGAGATCATCTGGAGTTTTGGAGTTCAACGCCATCTGGATGCAGATGACGTCCAACTCTACTATTCCTTTTCACCAGATGCTAAGGAGGCTGCCCAGGTCTTGAACCAGTGCCTGGCTGCAAGACATAGGCAATCCTGGTCAGTCGCAAGGCCAAAAAGGGTATAGGGTTACAGCCTGTGTTGTGCTGAATGGGGTTACACTCACCTTGAAGGCACACGTTCACAGCTTAGAAGTTCTCCTGGACTCATTGCTGAGCCTGGAACCTCAGGTTGTGGGAGTGTCTAGGGGGGCTTTTGCACAATTAAAACTTGTGCACCAGTTGCACCCGTATCTTGGGAAGTAAGACTTTGTCACAGTGGCCCACGCTCTCGTCACATCCAGAATAGACTACTGCAATGCACTCTATGTGGGGTTGCCTTTGAAAACTGTTTGGAAACTTCAAATAGTCCAACGAGAGGCAGCCACATTAATAACTGGGGTGGCATATAGGAAGCATAGAACTCCCATGTTGTGCCAGCTCCACTGGCTGCCAGTTTGCTACTGGGCACAATTCAAAGTGCTGGCTTTGGCCTATAAAGTCCTAAACAGCCCTGGGCCAGTTTACCTATCTGAACGCATCTCCCTCTATGAACCAACATGGAGACGAAGATCCTCCAGGGAGGCCCTGCTCTCAGTCCCACCACCATCACAGGCATGATTGGCAGGGATGAGAGAGAGGGCCTTCTCAGTGATTGCCCCTCAGCTATAGAACTCCCTTTATGGTGAGATCAGATCAGCCCCCTCCCTCCCGTCTTTCAGAAAAACGGTAAGAACTTGGCTGTGGGACCAAGCCCTTGGGACAATGCAGTAAGGTAATAATATCCTGCGGACCTCATTCAGTATTGCTGTTTTGATATGGTTTTGATTTTAAAGTGGATACAACTGATTTTGGGGAGCCCATGGTGGCGCAGTGGTTTAAAGCGCTGAGCTGCTGAGCTTGTTGACTGAAAGGTCACAGGTTCAAATCCGGGGAGGGGCGTGAGCTTCCGCTATTAGCCCCAGCTCCTGCCAACCTAGCAGTTCAAAAACATGCAAATGTGAGTAGATGAATAGGTGCTGCTCAGGTGGGAAGGTAACAGTGCTCCATGCAGTCATGCTGGCCACATGACCTTGGACGTGTCTATGGATAACATCGGCTCTTCCGCTTAGAAATGGAGATGAGCACCACACCCCAGAGTTGGACACTACTGGACTTCATGTCAGAGGAAAACCTTTACCTACAACTGATTTTAATGTTTGTGTATATTTATAGTTTATATTATATTCTGGCACTGAGTGTTTGCCGTATATATGTTGTGCTCCACCCTGAGTCCCCTTCGGGGTGAGAAGGGCAGAATATAAATGCTTCAAATAAATAAATAAATAAATAAATAAATAAATAATAAAAAGTGACTATCAGCTGCTCACCATGCATTATTGTAAAATACAATGCATGGACATCAAACTCACATTCTGCCCTACTTTTATTTTGCTTTAAAAGATTACAAAAAGCTTTGTCTGAAAAGAATATAGCCATACCTGATTTTCTCTGCTTTTGGAATGTCTGGAGTCAGTGAAAATATAGTGGCTGGAAGAGACAAGAACAAAGAGGAACAATCAATACTAATGTTTCAGACTGCACTGAAAGGCTTTATGTTGGCCTAACCATTCTCACAAGCACATTTCCTGAAACCCTGGGGGAGCATTTTCTCTCTGGTTGGTCCCAAGCTATGAAAGTTCCTCCCACAGAAGGATCAGTTGTTACCTCCTCTGCTGAAATACAGTGGGACCCTCCCTATTACATGAAGTCTCCCAAGCCCTGCCACCTCCAGATCCTTGCTTTTCTCCTCTGACCTCCTGACTATGAACTATAGACTCATAGAATCATAAAATTGGAAGAAACCTCATGGGTCATCCAGTCCAACCCCTGCCAAGAAGCAGGAAAATTGCATTCAAAGCATCCCCAATAGATGGCCATCCAGCCTCTGTTTAAAAACTTGCAAAGAAGGAGCCTCCACCACACTCCAGGGCAGAGAGTTCCACTGCTGAATGGCTCTCACAGTCAGGAAGTTCTTCCTCATGTTCAGATGGAATCTTTTTTCTTGTAGTTTGAAGTCATTGTTCCACGTCCTAGTCTCCAGGACAGCAGAAAACAAGCTTGCTCCCTCCCTCTTTATACATGGCTATCATGTCTCCACTCAGCCTTATCTTCTTCAGGCTAGACATGCCCAGCTCTTTAAGCCGCTCCTCATAGGGCTTGTTCTCCAGACCCTTGATCATTTTAGTCACCCTCCTCTGGACACATTTCCAGCTTGTCAATATCTCTCTTCAATTGTGGTGCCCAGAATTGGACACAATATTCCAGGTGTGGTCTAACCAAGGCAGAAGAGAGGGGTAGCATGACTCCCTTTATTCTTATAAATCTATTAAATATATTCTATTTTACTTCTGGAACAAGAGACATTGCCCTCTGCCTGACCTAGGTCAAGAAGCAACGAACTCCGGGAATGTAATGCCCTGGACCATAGGCACGGTTCAGGTAAACCATCCAGCTATTATGGACTTTCACACTCAACAGACAACTTCCTGCTTGCCATGCTGGTAACCAGCCCCAGGTGTTACTCAGGGCCCTTTCACACATCCATATAACCCAGAATATCAAGGCAGAAAATCCCACAATATCTGCTTTGAACCAGGTTACCTGAGTCCACACTGCCATATATTCCAGTTCAATGCAAAAAATGTGGAATTTTATTCAGCTGTGTGGAAGGGGCCTGAGTCAATGAATATCTATGGCATCTGTTTAGTCATTTTAATCTTCATGAGCAGAGTGCAGAGATATTCAATAATATTTCTGAGACAACGGAGACTTTGACTGTTTCAACATTCCTGCAGACATTCTTTATTTGGCTGGTCTGAGAAAAGATCATCACCCATTGTCTACATAATCCTATCATCTCCATGCTCAGACAGCCAAAAATTTGATCTAGGACCAGCAACAGCTATCATATTTGTATCTATTACTTTCTGTATAACCTTTATCTTTTCATATAATGTATCTATTTTCCAAATCTAAAATGTATAAACTGTTTTATGAAATGTATCAAGGCAGCCAACTCTACAGGTCAAACAAGCAGTCTGGGATCTTTTTTCTCAGAGCCATCAGGCAGCGCCATTGTTCCAAAGACATGTTAATAATGGGGTTGTTGTAGGTTTTTCCGGGCTACAGCAAGCCTTCGACAATACATATGTTAATAATCTCCTGCCTAGCCAAATATGTTTGTCTGGAATGTTCCTCTTTGTTGGCAGCCATGCCTCTAAACACCCAGTCAACATCTTTGTTTCTTAAAAACCCTGCCTTTGTTTAATATAAAACTGGATATAAATCTTTAAAACTAAATCAGATCAGCTATGTGTTAAACCTTGTTTTGAAGTTCAGAATTCATGATTCTTTACCTTTGAATGTATTGATGTCAGTTTGCATCCTATTATGGATTTTACCAAAACGTTCAATACATTTCCACTGACGAAGAAATAAAGCTCGAGGCACCTCAATTTTTTCCTTCTTACACCTGTGGGGAAGTAAGTGAACATTATTTTTCCAGATAGTTGTTTCAGCAAGAAAGATGCAGGAAAAAGTAGGAACATTAGGGTTAGACATGGCAGAGAAGGTAATAAGTTAATCCATCTATTGTCCAAACTGGCTTTTTACAAACAGCAATGATAATTTGGAAATGTTGCCATTTCAGAAAACAGAAGACAAATAGGAAACATGTACACTACATATTTGAATGCACAGATTGTTGTGGTGTGCCTCCAAGTTGCTTCCAACTTGTGGCAACCCTAAGGTGATCCTACTACAAGGTGTTCTTTGCCAGATTTGTTCAAAGGGAGTGGGTGTCTTAGCTTTCCTCTGAGGCTGAGATAGTGTGGATAGAAATTAATACAAACCTATTACAACGGCTGTTTTTCATGCCAGATTTTTGTTCCACAAGATGGAAAGTTTATTGCACAGAAAACATAACAGAAAATCTTTGATCAAGGATCCATGTCAATTAAAGGAATAACTGCTGACTTTTGGAAAAGTTGTGTAAGTCTCATAAATGGCTTAGGTGTCTTTTGCAGGCTCCACTTCTTCCCCAAAAGAGCTGGGTTTGGTTCCCCCAAAGGGCCCCAAGGAGGATGGTGGGCGATAGTATGATAGCTGGGTCTGGAAGCTCCGAGCGTTATGCACATTCTGCAACGGCGGTTGTGAATAAGGGAAGGGACTACGTGGTCCAGAGAGGAGGTGGAGTGAGAGCGAGGAGAGTGGCACAGTGAAAGCAGAAATATACTTTGGAGTTGCATTTAGTGAAAGGATAGACAGGAGGGGAGGGTTAGGATAAGGTTTAGGGTAAGGTTTAGGCGCAGTGGTTCTCAACCTGGGGTCCCCAGATGTTTTTGGCCTACAACTCCCAGAAATCCTAACAGCTGGTAAAGTAGCTGGGATTTCTGGGAGTTGTAGGCCAAAAACATCTGGGGACCCCAGGTTGAGAACCACTGGTTTAGGGTAAGGTTTACGGTTAGGGTTTGGGTTAGAGATTAGGCTTAGTCTTAGGGGTTAGGGTTAGGGTAAGGTTTAAGGTAAGGGTTAGGGTTCAGGCAAGGGTTAGGGTTTTACCATTCAATAACTCTTACATTCCTTCTATAATATCTGTGTCCGGCCTGCCTTACAGTACCTCAGTCTCTCACTCTGCCCCGTTGTCTTGGTCACAGGTTCCATTCTACATTGTGCAAACAGCGCTCCCAAAGGAACGAAGCGGAAACAGCGTAACGCTCGGAGCTTCCAGACCCAGCTATCATACTATCACCAAATGGTGATGCCCAGAATGGAGAGGGAAGTCCCACTCTTTACCCAAAGTGGGGGGAAGGGAGGGAGGGTTTCCTGGATGGATGAACAGGCATGAAAGAAGGCCCTCTACATATGGCTGGCCCAGAAAGAAGCAAAGGCCACATTTATATTGAGGTTTTGAAGCAGGAAGTGAGCAGAATTCTGGGAAATGTAGTTTAGGGTGGGGCCTTTTGAATTATCTGCCATAGGAGTCCTTACCTTCCCAAACTATGTTTCCCAAAATTCTGCTTGCCACCTTATGCCTCCTCCTCCTCCTCTGCCGTGTTCATTCTCTAAAGGGATTTTGAGATAAAAAGGGATTGTTGGGAGTTGAATCAACCCTGTGAGGCAGGCAAAGTTGAGAGGCAGTAACTCCAAAGTTTTGTGTGTGTGTGTGTGTGTGTGTGTGTGTGTGTGTGTGTATGTGTGTCAGGACCAACTTGAGAAACTGCAAGCTGCTTCTGGTGTGAGATAATTGGCCATCTGCAAGGACATTGCCCAGGGGACACCAAGATGTTTGATCTTTTGCTATCCTTGTGGGAGGCTTCTCTCATGTCCCCGCATGGGGAGCTGGAGCTGATAGAGGAGCTCATCCGTACTCTCCCCAGATTCGAACCTACAACATGTCAGTCCTGCCAGCACAAGGATTTAACCCATTGTGCCACCGGGCTCTCCTTACTCAAAGTTTACCTAGTAGGTTTCCTATTTTTCTTATTGTTGTTGTCATTTCAAAGGCAGGGTGGGCATCTGTTGGAGGTGATTTGGCTGTGCTTTCTTCTGTCTGGCAGAAAAAAAGGGGGTTGAACTCCCTCCTGCCCCCAGTGTGCAATTACTTAACAAAAAGTAACAAAGAATTTGTTAATTTCATTATAATAACGAAACAGAAAATTAAGATATTTTAGAAACATTTTAGAAACAATTTTCTACCCGCGCCCTCTAATTTTGTAAAGAGTATTGAAAAAAAATTCATTGATCACACAAGCCTAGTACCCAGCCATCTGGCTGAGAAGGGGACTCTTTTTCTTTTTGTTATGGGACTAACCTACTGCCCGCTGGGAACATAAACATATCTGAGCTAACAGGGACTTCATAGGAAGTTGGAAGTACATTAGGGGGGATTCGCTGAATGGGAGTTAGAATGGGCTTTCTTTGTTTCCTGTAAGACTCTGAATAAAGTTGTGTAGCTGGTTCATGAGGTCACAAAGAGTTGGAAGCAACTGAACGAATAAACAACAGCAACAACAAACCTGGAACTGCTTGTGAGCCATCTTTAATTCTTAAGAATCTGCAGCACTGACAGAATTTCTATAATTGAGATTTTTGATGAGATCACAAAACCACACATTTGAAATCGCCCTGAAGATTCTTCGTTCAACCAAGGAGAGGCAGGATATTTCCCATGTCCTCCAGCATTTTTTAAAAAATCTACATACCTTTTCAAGGATCCTTTGATGTCCTAGAATATAAAGAAAGAGAAATTCAGTTGCATGCACCAGATGACCCAAAGACTACTAAAAGGACATATCCTGTGATATTTCCCACATTTTGACATAACTGCATAGACTTTGTATTTCTAGGTGCAAAGATTACTACAGACACTTTTGAACTGTGGTGTTGGAGGCAAATTCTGAGAGTGTCTTGGACTGCAAGAAGATCCAACCGGTCCATATTTCAGGAAATAAAGCCAGACTGCTCATTGGAGGGAAGGATATTAGAGGCAAAGATGAAGTACTTTGGCCACATAATGAGAAGACAGGAAAGCTTAGAGAAGACAATTATGCTGGGGAAAATGAAGTGACTGGCTTGACTGGCTTGAGCTGGGGGTGGTGATGGTCGACAGGGAGCTCTGCCATGGGCTGGTCCATGAAGTCACTAAGAGTTGGAAATGACTGAACGAATAAACAACAAACAAGCACTGTTTTTGCAGGACTCCTACTGTTGTCAGGCAAATTAGAATGGCTGTGGATTAGGCCCAAGCCATTGTGGGTTGCCTGGTGAGAAAAGAGAAGCCAATATTCCAGAATAAATCTCACCAAGTTGAAGAGAAAGCCACCGAGATGTTTATTTCATTCCAGCTGGAAAGGATGATGATTGCAGTAGCCTGCCAACAAAATTGACATACCCAGTGGGCAGAGAGATACAATATATATAGCCTTCAGATTCAAAAGTTCCCATGGCCACCCTTCTCCCCCCCCCTCCAAGCTAGCTTTGTTATGATTGGCTGTGATGTCAGCAAGCCAGCAGGAGAGCCAATGGTGGCCTGAGCCCTGCTTTGGCCTCTCAGCCAATGGGATGGAAGGAAGGCGGGCAACAGGAAAACAATGAAGAAATGTCCAGTTGACTGGTTTAAAGGACTAATGTTTGCAAAATGGCTCAGCAATTGCTTTTTTAGCCCTCAAGCTGGCCAGGCTATTGTCTTGACTTTCTTGCAAATACATTTTTCGCCTGGCTCAGAAGCCAGATCTTTTGTTGTCCTTCCGTCTGGAATAAGGGTCCATTGATGGGATTTATGACTGGTATCGACCAACTGGATTCTCACAATGAAAAAGAGGCAGTTGGGAGCCCTGATCCTCTGCGGGTAGGGTGGCACCCTTTGTGTTGGTGGATCAAGATGCCCAGAGGTCTTATCTCCAGATGGACTAGCCTTTTGTCCTCCTGAGCCAGGCAAGTTGCTGGATTTTGAAAACAGTGGCTTTTCCTTCATATTTCATATACACATAGAATGGTATGGGGAAAGGGGAACAAACAAGTTCATAAGGGATAAATCATGCAAGACCAAAGGGAGCCCTGGCAGCCCTCCCTCCACCAAAGGTTCATACAGATCAGTGAAATATCATAAAACTTCATAAGGGTTTGTTATAGGGTCGCTAAGAGTTCCAACGTCCACAAAAAGTTGATTAAAGGTTTGCAAAGTTCATAGAAAGTCCATAAGAGTGCAGGGGTGTGTGTGCTACCTCCGATATCATTACTATTTGAGACTTGGCATGTTTCTTGAACACCTGCAAAGTAGCTGTGAATCGCCATTAAAGGGTCCCTATAATGTTGACTAATGGTGAATCCAAAATGCATGTGCTTCTTTTTGCATCCCCAAATCCCCTTCTGATCACAAGTGAATACACACAATGCCAATTCGGACATTCAGACAAGATGGACAGTCACATGATGTTACTTTGTACAACAGTATATACAGTACTTTTAGATTGATTTTTAAACTCAATCCATCAGGATATTTGGAGTTGTAGCAGTAAGGAAAAGAACGCTGAACTTAGTCTATACACAAATTGATAAGGAACACAAGTAACACAAAACATAAACAAAAAGATTTCTTCAAAAATCAGGATGTTTAGCTGAACAGTTCTCTGAGAGAATAAATCAGGAAAGTCATAAGAAAGCCGTTATATTTCATCATAACTTAGCCTCCGACGCAGGCAAAAGTTGTTGGAAATAGCAACCTTCCAAGCCTCCACTAACTGTTTGCAAATGTGTATAATTGTTACCCTATATTGTATATTTTGGTTTGCCTGTTTGGTGTTTGGGGGGGGGGGAGGCCTTCAGACACAGGACTCCATTTTGTATTTAGCATCAGAACGCAGTGGCGGTGGATGCATGTTGCTGTTTGGACTTTAGTAGAGAAGTATGGCTTGTGGACTTCAGTGAGTACAGCTATACTTAAAGACATTGGACTATGGACTAGTATGCTGAATATATACCAGAAGTTTGTTAGTAAACCTGGGATGTTATTTTTTAAAGAAGACTACTTTGGGGTTTTTTTTAAATCTCTTGAGTGCATATTTTAAGTAAGAGGTTTGAAGAAAGTGTATATTTTTTGGACAACTGCAAACTGAAATTTCAAAGAAACAACCATCTTCTGCTACTTGAATAGTGGCATCCTTGGCAGTTTAAGGACATGGTTCTTCAGTTTAACAGCTGAGTTACCTGTGTGCCATTACATGAATGCTTGTGAATATCACTTGTTCAAAGAGTTGACGTCTAACAAGGTCATGCTTTTCTTGACTAGTGATTTGCAAAAGGCGGTCTCCACATGTTCATGGAGATTCACATTTGCTAAACCAATGTGACACCATTTTTACCTTTTCAATAAGTTTATGGTGCACTTATTTCTAATAGATTATGGAATTTCCAATAAAAGTAGCACCCCATGAACAAATATTGCCAAGAAAACTCCATAAGAAGATTTGTCTTAAGGTTGCCAGAAGTTGAAGACACACAATTGCAAGAAGAAGCATCAAATTAGTGCATTTGCTTAGTAAAAGCAAGAGCCTCTTCTCAGGTAGCAGAAGCCATCTATTCATCATAGCACACACTTTTCCTCAGTGACATCCCTTGCATTTAACATTGCTTTATTTTGTGACAGATAATTTTCAAGCCTGACTGGTGGAGCTTATGTCTCTGAAGATCTAGGGACAACCTAATTTTTTTCCTACCAAAGCTTACCTGCAACAATTCATTTTCTGGCTGGTTATGTTTTTCTTCCATCTTCTTGATATCTGTCTCCATAGAGGAAATTTTCTCAGAAAGTCTGGCAGTCTTTTCATTACTGATGTTTCGAATCTCTTTATTCAGATCTTGCAACTGAGTCAGCAAGTCCTGTTCTTTTTTGTTTAGGGATTCACGCAGTTGCTTAAATTCGGTCACTATTTTTGTTCTTTCTGTTTCAATGTTTTCCTGTAGTGAAAAAGAAAATCTATATAAATAAAAATGTAATGTTCGTTTGTGGGATTAACAGAACTCAAAAACCACTGGATAAATTGACACCAAATTTGAACACAAGACACCTAACAACCCAATGTATGTCCTTCACTCAAAAAAATTGCTTTTGTCATTTGCGAGTTGTAATTGCTGGGATTTATAGTTCACCTACAATCAAAGAGGATTCTGAACCCCACCAACGATGGAATTGAACCAAACTTGGCACACAGTTCTCCCATGACCAACAGAAAATACTGGGTTTGGTGGGCAGTGTCCTTTGGTTTTGGAGTTACAGTTCACCTACATCCAGAGAGCACTGTGGACTCAAACAATGATGGATCTGGACCAACTCTACACAAATACTCAATATGCCCAAATGCGAACACTGGTGGAGTTTGGGGAAAATAGGATCTTGACATTTGGGAGTTGTAGTTGCTGAGATTTGTAGTTCACCTACAATCACAGAGCATTCTGAACCCGACCAACAATAGAATTGGGCCAAACCTCCCATACAGAACCCCCATGACCACCAGAGTGGGCCACAGTAAAGCGTGGCAGGGGATGGCTAGTAGGGAATAAGACCAGCCTCGAGTTTCACTCCACACACTCACACTTCTGAGGCATAAAGCGGGGGAACATATAATCGTTTCAACCCTCCCCCAACCCTGAAGAACATAGAATCAAATAGGAGGACATATTAAATTTGTGAATAATCAAATCTGTTTTTACAGTTTTTAATGTTTTTTATATGGTTTATATTATATGCTTAATGTTTTAATTATATTTTATGTTATTGGGGGCATTGAATTTTACCATTTGTAAACCGCCCTTAGTCGCCTCCGGGCTGAGAAAAGTGGTATATAAATATGGTAAATGAATAAATAAAAAAATGTAAATGTACAGATGTATGTGTGAGGGGAGGGGAGGTGACTGTATCATCATCATCATGGTTATTGTTATTATTATCCTGCTATCTTCACAATAATGGAACTTAAGGCAGCTAATGATGCATTTAAAAGCAAAAGTATGTTACTGTTTTTATAAATGATTAAAATGATTTAAAAATGTATAAATATTAATAATTTAAAATATTCATTAAAACATCATATACAAATATTAAAAACTTTCAATTCTGTGGGTAGTAGTGCATGGCCGTTCTTAGTTGGTGGAGCGATTTGTCTAGTTAATTGCGATAACGAATGAGACTCTGACATGTTAACTAGTTATGTGACCCCTGAGCAGTTGGCGTCCAACTTCTTAAAGGGATAAGTGGCATTCAGCCACCTGAGATTGAGCAATAACAAATCTGTGATACCCTTAGATGTCCGGGGCTGCACACACGCTACACTGACTGGCTCAGCATGTGTCTACCCTACGTCGACAGGTAGGGGTAACTCATTGAACCCTATTTGTGATGGGGATAGGGGATTGCAATTATTCCCCATGAATGAGGAATTCCCAGTAAGTGCAGGTAAATATTTTTAAAAAACTATTCTCTATGAGAACTAATGGTTTGACTCTGAAGGAACTGGGGGTGGCCACAGCCAACAAGGAGCTCTGGCATGGGCTGGTCCATGAGGTCACGAAGAGTCGGAAGCAACTGAATGAATAAACAACAACAACAAATGAGAAACAAAGACTGTGATTCAGTAGTGATCACTTGTAGGTGGTTAGGGTTCAATGCCTTAAAGTTCAATTTATAAACCTGAGTGTCTTCACCACCCCAACCCTAAAGCTGTTAACTGCTGTTAACTGTCAAACCAAATAGGGATTTGAATACTTACAAAACATTATACTTTTACAAGTCTAGACTAAGTATTACTTATCCAAAATGCTTGGGACAAGAAGTGCTTTATATTTTAGATTTCCCCCCTAGATTTTAGAATATCTTTATTAGCATATACATACAGTATGAGATATCTTGGAGAAGGGATTCATGTCTAACACACAAAATATATGTGTAAGATATAAATCTTACACACATAGCCTGTAATTAGTTTTCTAAACATGTTTTGATAATTTTGTTTGTTGTTGTTTATTTGCTCAGTCGCTTCCGACTCTTTGTGACCTCATGGACCAGCCCATGCCAGAGCTCCCTGTTGGCATGGCCACCCCCAGCTCCTTCAAGGTCAATCCAGTGACTTCAAGGATACCACCCATCCATCTTTCCCTTGGTCTGCCCCTCTTCCTTTTTCCTTCATTTCCCCCAGCATAATTGTCTTCTCCAAGTTTTCCTGTCTTCTCATGATGTAGCTAAATATTTGCCTCTAATATCCTTCCCTCCAGTGAGCAGCCAGGCAATATTTCCTGAAGTATGGACTGCTTGGATCTTCTTGCGGTCCAAGGCACTCTCAGAATTTTCCTCCAACACCGCAGTTCAAAAGCATCTGTCTTCCTTCGCTCAGCCTTCCTTATGTTATAGCTCTCGCATCCATAGGTTACTATGGGGAATACCATTGCTTTAACTATGCGGATCTTAATTAATTAATTAATTAATTAATTTTGTACATGGAACGAAGTTTATGTGCACTCTACCATCAGAAAGTAATGGTGTAATTATCTGTTTCCCATGTAGACAATTTCAGATTTCGGAATATTTTGGATTTCAAAATTCTGGGTAAGGGATGCTCACCTTGGATTTGCAAAGTTGAGCAAACAGGTGAAATATCTTACCTCGGTGATCTTCTTGAGATTGCCTCATCTGCATGGAGTACCTGTACTCTACCACTTTTTCTGATCTAGAGCTATGGCTTCTCTCTGGAAGTTACAACTCCAGCCTTGCAGAGGCAGTATATCAATTAGCTTAAGTAATGTTGTTATTGACTTAAATACCCACCAACAGTCTCCGCATTTCAGTCTCCACGCTCTGTTTATAAGTAAAAATGTCGTCTCTTTCTTTCTTCAGAATTTTCAGATGATCCCAAATTTTATTCTAAAGGGAAAAAATGAAGACATTTCAGTTAGTTCTAGGCATGATGGCAGGGTCTTCTGAAAGTCCCAACAAGACAGGGATCAAGGAGACTTTCCGATAGGGGAGCAGAAGGAGGAGGGAGCACTTGCACTCTTCATGCAGCCTTCTGCATTTACTCAAACCTTTTCTAATTGTAATGAAGATACTTTTGTAACCCCTTTCAGTTATTCCTATGCTCCAATGGGTGGGAAAACCTTAAGGAAGGTATAGTCAGCCTTCCACGTTTGGAGCTTTTACTTTTGCAGATTTAATTATTCACATGTTTGCTTAACCTGTTCTCTCTAGGAATATCTAGATCCTCCAGCATGACTGCACTGAGTCATGCAGAGGACCCAGAGATCCCGAGAGCTGCTTTTTCAGATTAAAAATAGTGTTTTTAATGTACGGTTTTCCCATTTTTTGCAGAAATCCTGTGCCCCAAACCCTAGCATAGACTCATAGAGTTGGAAAAGACCACAAGGATCATCTAATCCAACCCCCTTAACAACAACAACAACAACAACTACTACTACAACTTTATTTTTATACCCCACCAACCATCTCCCCAAGGGGACTCGGGGTGGCTTACAAGGGACAAGCCCAAAAATTACAAATAGAACACAACCAATTAAAAACATCAGATAAAATATAAAAAACAATCACAATTGTAAACAACAACAAAACAATATGGCTGAGAAAAAGAACATAGGGAGTGCAAGGAAAGTGCATCAATCAAGTAGACAGGGCTGGGAATAGTGTCATCAAAAGTGTTGAGGCTTTCTCAACAAAAGGAAAAGTGCGAGCTGGAAAGGACAGAATTAATGCAGTCTGACACCACTATAACTGCCATGGCTAAATACTATCAAATCGTAGGAACTGTAGTCATAAAAGACTGTAAGGAATTGTCGTTATACAAGGCTACAAGGCCTTCCTGGCCAAAAAATGCTTATGCCTCACAACACTACAGCTCCCATGATTCTGCAGCATTGGGCCATGTGACTGTTCAACTGGTGTCAAACTACATTAATTCTACAGGATAGAGCTTGTCTTGCAATAAAAATGTATACTGACACCTTACTGGACGCTTGGAAATATGTGTGCATGTTATAAATAATATTTCAATAACTTTAAATCATAGATTCTTTTTATTGCAATTTTCCAGTATGAGAAAGGGTATCAGAACTTTTACACAAAGAATGACGTTGGACATTCAGACATACAAATTCTATGTAACTACAGTTACACTGGCTTACGAACAAAGGGGAATTACATTTTTAGTCAGCATTCACATTACACATATAAACATTAATTCATCCACATGTATACATTGCCATTCTTCTTGAGTCATCTCATGGCAAAGAGCACTTTTTAGGCTAGACCTTGCAGCCTGGCAATGCACAGTTCCAAAACTTCCCTAAGAACAATGCCAAGGATCAGATCTCCATTTTCCTTACAGCAGGCACTGACTCCCTACAAACGTACCATGACTCCAAAATCACACTCCTTTCTCTTCACGGAGCAAGTGATCGGACTTCTGCTTGCCATTGCAGATCTATCACTCTCAAGTACATATACCATCTCACTCCTTCCCATCGAGAAGAGCGGCAGGTGGGCCAGACTCATGTGGTCTGCCACAATTTTGGAATTGTAATATAGCTACCAGTATTTTTTTAAAAAAACTCTAAAATGAAGAAAATAAATGAACAACACTCTAAAAACAGAGGAATTAGATACATGAAACAATCAGGGCCGGCTAACACCTCCCAACAAGGGATTCCCTTAGGCAGGAACTAGAAGACCTTAGTCGGTGTAGGTGAACTCTTTATTTCCAGTAGTGGCCCCCCGGCTGTGGAACACCCTCCCTAGAGAGATTAGATCTGCTCCTTCCATCTTAACATTTCGGAAGCAAGTCAAAACATGGCAAGCATTCACAAACACAGAGTAACGAATATGGATAAATGACATAGGAATTGATGATTGACGATGGACTCAGACAATGCTTGACAATAAGGAGACGCCAATGATGTTGTTTTTATTGTTGTTGTGATTTATATAATTGTAATGTTTTGAATTGTATTGTGATAACTTGTATGCTGTTTTGTTGGAAACCGCCTTGAGTCGCCGATGAGCTGAGAAAGGCGGTACACAAATAGAGTAAATAAATAAATAAATAAATAAATAAATTTAGGCTTCACTGCATCATGTTTATTTCCACTGAAATACCAATGTTACTGTTTTCAGTTCTTCTAGATTGCAACTTGAACTTCCCTGGCTCTATCAGTAGGTCACAGTCTCTCTCTTGCAGAAGATAGATAGCAAGCTGGCTTGCCACAGCTGTTCCTTTTTAAAGCCAGTAAACTGTTTAATTACAAAGTTCCATCACAGAATATTGTAAGATAAAGAGTTCTTCTAATGAAGCTGCATACTGTCCATTATTATCTAGGAGTCTTGGTAATTCTGATAGAAGATATCTATATTACATCTTTGTGCGGAGCTACTGCCAGATGCAACTTGTCTGAAGGCCAGTATGCTACAACTCACCCTCATTCTTAGTTATGAGTCATTTGTAAGTCAGATGTTTGTAACTCAGAGATTGCCTGTACATCCAATACATGACAAAAACCCACCCTTCCAAGAAATGGGTAAACTTATACATGGGTCAGTTCTGGAATAGGAATGGAGTTTGAAGACAGAGGCAAGAAACAGAGGCAACGAGCACTTCCAGGCCCTTAGCCCTCTTTGCCCAAACTTGAGGAAGAAAATCTCTCTTCCTCCTCACTTTCTTTTTCAGCCAGAGTGTATTTCAACATCACCAGGCGGAAACAATTTTGAATAATGAAGACCAAACAGCAGCAGGCATTTTTTTAAAAAAAGACTTTGCAGAAGGTTCTTTGGAGGGGGGTTGTGGTGGCCCTTTTCAATAGGGTCTTGCAGAGAATCTTACGCAGGAAGTTATTGTTTAAAATAACCCCCACCATTCTGTTCTGTTTTATGGAGGTGGAGGGTTGGTTGAAGGAGGAAAACCATTTTCTCTTTACCCCCCCCCCCCCCACACACACATGTCCCCCTCATGGAAATAACACTCATTTATGATATGAGAAGAGGGGAGGGAGAATAACCAGTGAAAATGGGGGAAATGGTTTTCCTCCTTCAGCTCCTCCTCTCCCATAAAATGGACTATCCTTCTTTCTCTAGCGCCTCCTTGTGGCCTCCAACCAGATAATGGAACAGTACCTTATTTATTAGGCCCCCTGGTGGCACAGTGAGTTAAACCGCTGAGCTCCTGAACTTGCTGACTGAATGGTTGGTGGTTCAAATCCAGGGAGCGGGGTGAGCTCCTGGTGTTAGCCCCAGCTTCTGCCAACCTAACAGTTTGAAAACATGCAAATGTAAGTACCGTAGATCAATAGGTACCATCTTGGTGGGAAGGTAACTGTGCTCCATGTAGTCATGCTGGCCACATGACCTTGGAGATGTCTACAGATAATGCTGGCTCTTCAGCTTAGAAATTGAGATGAGCCCCCCCCCCCCCCAAGAATTGGACATGACTAGACTCAATGTCAAGGGGAAAGCTTTAGCTTTACCTACCTTATTTATTATCAATATTTTAACACTGCCCCACAGGCATGTTCTTATGGCAGCCAACATGACAGAACAACTAAAAGAGAAGTAACATGAACCTGATCTTTTTAAACTTTCTTTTAACATAATCAAACAGAAAACTCTACAAAGCAACAGGTACATTTATTCCTCACATTCGACCATTGGTACTTACATACCTTATATTCTTCAAAAGCCTCCTTCTTGGGAATCACTTTGTGTTGCCTGTGTTCTTTGGATTTGTCACATACCACACAGATTAGGATTTGATCATCTTCACAGAATAGTTTCAAAGGCTCCTGGTGTTGTTGGCACACTTCCTCCAATACTTCAGCCCCTCTGACAGTCTGAAGACTGAATTTCTTGGCAATTTCAACAATATTTACCAGTTGTCGGATTGGCCTGATGTTCCTTTGTTGGCAGGGCTCTCTGCATTGAGGGCAAGATGTACACTGCGCAAGGCACGTTTTGCAGAAAATGTGCCCACAGTCTGTGATCACTGGATCTTTGAAGTACTCCAGGCAAACTGAACAAGTTGCTTCCTCACACAGATTCCAGACCGGGTTTGCGGCTGCCATTGTGCCTGACTGAACGATTATAAAAGCCTCACTTTCGTTTCTCAGTTTTGAAACACATCTGGGCGAGTCTGTTCTTTGTGCTGACTCAGACTAAGCTTTCTTTGCATAAGAAATGGCAGCAAAATCAATGGGGGCAAAAACAATTTGGTGCTAAATTCATAAATACAGTAATTACTACACAATGTTACCATGTATAGAACTACTTTTTCTGTAGAATTGTTGTAAAACATCATGTTCTGGTGCTTAATTTGTAAAATCATAACATAATTTGACGTTTAATTGGCTTTTCCTTAATGCCTTCTTATTATCCAACATTTCACTTGTCCAACATTCTGCCAACCCGTTTATGATGGATAAGCAAGACTCTACGGTATATATATTTTAAAAGACCCCCGCCCCCCCAAAAAAAGCATTTAAACTCTTGTTTAAAAAAGATAACAAATTGACACACGTGTAGAAGTTTGGAGTTTCTGGAAGAGTTGGCAAGTAGTGCAGCCAAACCTATAACATATGTTTTATGTATAGGAAATAATCTTATTTATAGAATCTGCAGATCTAACTGGGAGAAAGAAGTTTGCAAGTAGACTTGGTCTACTTCACCTGATGCTTGTGTTATAAAGTGTTGTAATTCAGCCAGCTGATGATGATGAGTGGTTTGGGGTGCAGGGCCTGATGGTTCTGTGGGTGCCCAGACAGAGGGGGTGTTGGAGCAAGATAGATCTCAGGTTGGGAGAATGGAGCAAGATGCTGTTTCTGAGTATGGGAATGAAACTGCTTTGGAAGCTGACAGGCAGGGAAGGGAGGATAACATGAGCTCATCCGAAGAAGCAGCTGCCTTAGAGAGAGATCCCAGGCTGCTCCTGTGGGGGAGGAAATCCAGGTGCAAGCAAAGCCACCGGAAGGAGAGGCAGAAGCAAAATAATGTGTACATGTGAAGTCAAAGGTAACCCCCCTTCCCCGGATGGTTCAAAAATCAGGGAATTCATAGTTTTGCCAAGGACACCAGGCTGGAATGATCCCATAATCCCCTATCTCTCCTGCATATGGGAACCTAAGGCTTTTTCCATGCCTCCACATGGCAATACCCCTGTGACTCAAACTAGCATCTGACCAATATTGGCCATTTATTGATCAATTGGATTCCTTTTTCATGAATGAAACTCCTGTTTTATGAATGGACTCCAACTTCTCAGTGCTCCCATTGACTCCAGTGTGCTCCCCATGGACTTTTATGGACTTCTCTAGGACTTTTACACACTTTCCCCAAACCTCATGAACTTTTATGATATTTCACTGATCTATGTGAACCTTTGGTGGAGGGATGCCAGGGCTCCCTTTGGTCTTGCATGATTTATCTCTTATGAATCCCTTGTTTGTTTCCCTTTCCCCATACCATTGTATGTGTATATGAAATATGAAGGAAAAGCCACTGTTTTCAAAATCCAGCAACTCGCCTGGCTCAGGAAGTCCCCTCATGCTTCCTGAGCTATTAATCCCCTAGCAAAAGGTTTCACCAAGCCCATTTGCAAGGACAATAAAACAAATGGTTCTTATCAACCAGATCTCGGAGGGCAAAAGGCTAGTCCATCTGGAGATAAGACCTCTGGGCATCTTGATCCACCAACACAAAGGGTGCCGCCCTACCTGCGGAGGATCAGGGCTCCCAACTGCCTCTTTTTCATTGTGGGAATCCAGTTGGCCAATGCCAATCATAAATCCCATCAATGGACCATATCCTGGACGGAAGGACAACAAAAGATCTGGCCCCTGAGCCAGACAAAAAAAATGTATTTTCAAGAAAGTCAAGACCTGGGCAGCTTGAGGGATATATAAAAAAAGCAATTGCTGAGCCATTTTGCACACATTAGTCATTTAAACCAGTCAACTGGACATCATTGTTTCCCTGTTGCCCGCCTCCCTTCCACCCCATTGGCTGAGAGACCAAAGCAGGGTTCAGGCTGCCATTGGCTCTCCTGCTGGCTTGCTGACATCACAGCCAATCATAACAAAGCCAGCTAAGAAGGGGGGGAGGGGTGGGCATGGGAACTTTTCCTATAAATATTGTATCTCTCCACCCAATGGGCATGTTGGCTCCTGGGCAAATGATTGCAGTTTGACATCCACTCCAGCTGGAATGAAATAAGCATCTCCAGACATAGTTTTTTAAGATCTACAGAGACACTCGCTGGAACGCCTCAGCAAGTGAGAGTCCAAAAGTGGCAGGCTCAAACCCAGAACCTCAACCAATGGCTGATACCAAATGAGAGACTCCCCCTGGGCACACAGAGGACTGGGCGACTTGGAAGGCGCTGAACAGACTGCGCTCTGGCACCACGAGATGCAGAGCCAACCTTCAGAAATGGGGCTACAAAGTGGAATCCTCGACATGCGAGTGTGGAGAGGAGCAAACCACTGACCACCTGCTGCAATGCAACCTGAGCCCTGCCACATGCACAATGGAGGACCTCTTTGCAGCAACACCAGAAGCACTCCAAGTGGCCAGATACTGGTCAAAGGACATTTAATCAACTACCAAACTCAATTTTGTATTTTGTCTGTTTGTTTGCTTTGTTCTGTTAGAAATGTAATATAATTGACTGGCTGCCCTGACACGAGAAATAAAAAAATAAAAAATCTTGGTAGTTTTTTCTTCAACTTGATGAGATTTATTCTGGAATATTGGCTTTTCTTTTCTCACCAGGCAACCCACAATGGCTTGGGCCTAATCCACAGCCATTCTAAATTGCTCAACAACACATGTGTTGCAGACCTTAAATGAGAGAGAGAGAGCTGTTAGAATTTCAGATCAAGCAATGTCACTACTGGAGTGGGAAACTCCCGTCTTGTTCCTGGTTCATGCTCTAAGCTCAAGGCCCAAGATTCCTTGTCAAGTTTTGCTTCCTGCTTTAAGGATTTACCTATACATTCATACCCTTGTTTTGGTCCTTGTTTTCTGGATTAATGTTCAAGTTTTAACTCTTGTTTTTGGATTTACCTTTTGTCTATGGGACTTGCTTTCTATATGCACACTTGGATTTTTACTCTATTATTTGCTTAAAGTGTCTTTGGCCCTTTCTTCTATGTGTTTTATCAATAAACTGTTTATTTCCAAGTCTGGTTTCCTGGTGAGTACTTTGAGCAAGGTGAACTCCTGCTGAGGTGCAACATAAACCTCTTTATCTGTCTAGTCATGACCTATTTTCAAAACAACGGATATGCATTGTACATTTAATCACCTATGTACATATTGATCTCAGAGGAAAACTGCCTCCAAATTTAATTGGGTCAATTGAAATTGTTACAATATAACAAATAAAAGAAATGATTCTATCAAAAAGTACCCCGGCACTGGCGGGTGCTGCTGGGCTCCTCTGCATTTCCAACATTTATTACAAATATTTTTTGAGAATTTTGCCAGTTTGCATGGTGTTAGATACCACATGACTGTTTTTTATACAATGCAAATAAAATGAAAGCTAATCGGTTTTGTTAGTTTTAGTGCAGAAATGCGGTTCGAAGCAAACTAGACTATTTTTAAGACCCACTAGAGAATGAATCCACTTTAAATCCGGTTGCTGCCTCCTGCAGAATTCTGGGGTTTGTAGTTTAAGGAGGAGYTTTTAACAGCCTAATTAAACTACAAACCCCAGAATTCTGGAGACAGAAAAAAGTGATTTTTTTCTCTAGTGTGATGATGTGTAGGAGAGCATTGTGAGGAGGACGTAAACCAAATCAGCCTCTTTATAGAAGAAAAAGGTATCACTTTCCTCCCAAGGGCTGACCCCACCATCCA